GGAAGGGGTTGGTTGTTTTTTTTTTCTTTTTCGTGAAGCAATCTGGGTTAAGTGACTTGCCCAGGGTCACACAGCTAGTAAGTGTCAAGTATTTGGTCTGAGGTCGGATTTGAACTCAGGTCCTCCTGACTTCAGGGCTGGTGCTCTATCCATTACGCCACCTGGCTGCCACCTGGCTGCCCCCTCTATCCTTCATTCTTGAAGAGGACCAATGACATCCTGAGGGTGACGTCTTGATTTTCAAGAGAATTGGATTCAAGTGAGGCAGAGCTGCACAAAGTCTGGTTCTCTCTTCCAGTCATCAGAGTCCATTCGGGATCAAGACACAAGTCAAGACAATTGCAGAGGGTTTACACCAGAGTGTTGAAAGAAAGAGAAGAGATGAAAAGATACCTCCTTCTACTCCTCTGTAGAGGTGGCAGTCAGAGAATGTGGAATACTGCATCGAATTTCCAGTTTTGTTTTGTTTTGTTTTTTACTGTATTGATTAGTTTTGCTGATTGTTCCCTCTTTTTTTCTTTAAAAATATTCTTTGTTATATGGGGATGGCTGGCTGAACCAGGTAAAGGGTAAGGGTCAGCAACTGAGGGAGAAATTTAGGAGATTTTTAAAACAAAAGAGATCAATAAAATGTAAATTTTAAAGGGAGAGAAAAAAAATCAAATTTGACGAATTATGTCATCCTTTTGTCTTAAGGAAGAACCTTGAAGACACTCACTGTACAGACTTAAATACCTTAAATTAAGTACCTGTGAAAATCAACTCTTCCCTTGCAGTTCACAGAAACCAAAGTCCCTCCCTCCTATTCTAGCTCATCCTTCATCACGTTGCCAGGCTTATCTTCATTGGCATTGAACGTGCTTTTGTTTTTATATCTCCTAGCACAGTCTGACACACTGGGTGTGTAATAAATTTGCACTGAATGAATGACTGGTCACTTCCAGGGTCACAGGGCTTCAATAGCTCTTATTGCTTATCTATAAAATATTAACTCCTTACCTTGGGATTTAAAGCCCTCTGCAGTCTTCCACTCCCCTGCATTTCTAGCCTTAGCTCATACTACCCCTCCTCTTCCTCTGTTTCTTCCTTTTGCACATCTTCTGTGTCCATAACTCTGCTCATGAGGTCTCCTGTGGAACACAATTGTTCTAATCTCTGCCTTTTGAAATGCTGCCTATCCTTCATGAAACACTCCATCATCCTCTCCTTCCATAACCAGCCCCTATTCCTCACCCCACCCCCAATAACCTTGCACAGCATGTGGTTTTTCTCTCTTCTGCATGTAATATTCTTCTTGATATGGTTAATCTGAGGATATCCTTGCTTTCTAGGTGATATTTCATCAGGACAGGAACCTTGTCCCACTTAATCTTTGCATCTTCCCCAGCTCCTAGCACAGTCCTTTTGCACAGAGTAAGTACCTACTCCATGTCGGTAGAAGCTGTTGTTGGATGGCTGGCTTAAAGGGACACATAGTCCTTCTGTGGTCAACATTCAACATTTATCAAGTGCCTACTTTGTGCCAGGCACTGTGCTAAGAATTGGGGATACAATAACTTTGCCAAAAAAAAAAATAGTTTCTTCTCTCAAAGAGCTCTTAGTCTATCAGGCAAGACAACAATATGCAAGTTACTATGTGCAAACAAGATACATACAGGATAAAGTGGAGATAATCGCAGAATGGAGGCATTGACATTAAGGGAGATTGGGAAAGGCTCCTGGTAATAATTGGGATTGTAGCTAGAACCTGAAGGCAACCAGGAGGCAGAGACAGAAGGTGGAGAATTCCAGGTGTGGGGGACAAGGGGTAAAAATCCCCAGGATATCTCTCTCTCTCTCTGCCAACATAGAACTATTTTTTAACCAGGGTTGATACAGTATGACCCAAAGCTGGGGATGACAAAGACTCTTTGGGGCCCAGCCCTCCGAAGGCAGAGAGGATTGGCTTCTCAGAACCAAAGGGAACCCCCGTATCCCCCATGCCCTATTAGGTTGTGAGCTTTTCAGAGACAGAGGGACTGTGGGCCATGTCATCTTGTTGTCCTTCGTGCTTAACACAATGCCCCACGCATGGCAATAAATGCTTCTGGAGTTGACATGGTGACAGACATCAGGAGATCCCAGCATTGAAGACCAAGAGGGGGAAGGGACCTCAGAGGTCCAACCCCTCAGAGAGATCCTGGGGATTTTTACTCTTTGTATGAATGGCTTGACAACGTTACATGGGTACTAAGTGGTAGAGCCCAGATTCAAATCTGGGTCTCATGACTTCAAGCACTAGAATGCATAGGGAAGTAGGTTCTGGAAGGGCTTGAAGAACCCAGCAGTCTAGAAAGGGGTGCCAAAAAGGATCTGCAATCATGGAATGATAGCACCGTAGAGCTGAAGGGTCCAACCTCCTTCCCCAGGCAGCCTGTTGCACTTTTGGAGAGCTCTATTTGTTAGACAGAAGCAGTATAGCAATGCCGAAAGAGCTGGTCCTGCCTTCACTGATTCCTGACTCTGACACTTACTGGTTGTGTGACCCTAGGCACATCACCTATAACCTCTCTGCATCCTAGGCAACTCTATGCATCAGTGGAGAAATTCTCACCTGGGAGTTCACTATCCTGAAGAAGTCAGTCCCAGTTCCTATCCCCTCTTCTACTTTTTGGGAAGTGTTTCTAATATCAAGCCTAAATCTACCTCTTTGCAACTTCTCCTGGCTCTGCCCTCTGAACAATGGCCAACCTGAGCACCAGGCAGCTGGTCAGATAGCTGAAGACTGTTGTTACGATTCCTCTGAACCTTCACCAGGCTAAGTAAATTCAGTTTCTCTAACTGATCCCCACATGCCATCGCCTGAGGTCTTTCACTATCCTGGTGGTCTTCTTCTGGTGATTCCAGGTTGTCAATGGCCTTTTGAAAATGTCTTGCCTACAACTGAACACAATCCTTTAGATATGGTCCATTAAGAGCAGAGTAGAAAATGAACACTTCCTTATTCCTGGAAGTTATGCCCCTCAGTGGAAACCAAGATCACATTGGTCTTTTTGACTATCCAATCATGCTGTTAACTTATGTTGTACTTGTTTTGACTGCATGATCATGCTGTTGATTCATATTGTACTTGCAGTCAATTAAAACCACTAGATCTTTTTCTTTTGGGGGGTATGGGGGAGAGAGGGAATAAGGGTTAAGTGACTTGCCCAGGGTCACACAGCTAATAAATGTCTGAGGCTGGATTTGAACTCAGGTCCTCCTGACTCCAGGCCCAGTGCTCAATCCACTGCATCACCTAGCTGCTCCTAGTTTTTTTTCAAATGAACTGCTACTTAAGCCATGATGTCCTCATCTTGACCTTGTGAAGTTTCGTTTTTCAACCTGCATAAGATTTTACATATGATGTTTCTTGATATTAGGTTCAGATGGATCTTCACTTCACTCTGGTTAGTTAGTTTGTACCCAGGACTTTCTCACATAAACTGTCATCAAACCAGGTCTACTCAGTCTTGTATTTGTATAAAGAGAAGGTTGTCCAGTTTAGCTGAGCCCTGCATCATATAGAGTATGAGAGAAGGCTAGAAAGACTGAGTGGTGCCAGGCAAGGGCTAGAGACCTTATGAAGTCCCTTTCAACCAAGGTTCTGTGACTTCACATTTATTCCTGACCCTCTTCAATTTTTTACTGTTTGTTCCAGCCAATTTTCCTGCTAATCCTGGTATCAACGACTCCCCCCAGTACTGTGACATTTACAAACCTGGTAAGCCTTCCATCTTTGTTTTCATACACGTAAGTCACTGATTAAATGATCAGAGGAAAGCCAGAGACAGAGGCCTGCGGATACCTCCAGACAGGCATCATGATTACAGGAAATCATACTCTTTGGGTAGTTGTTCAGGCATCACACAATCCACACTACTCCATCTCCAAGGATGTCACAAGAGACCGTGTCTGATGCCTGCCTGTAGGGAATTAAGGCATGACATTTCCCTGATCTACCAGCCCCCTAACATCTTCAAGAAAGGAAACAAGGTTAGTTTGGCATGAGTCATTCTTCACGGACCTAGGGTGGCTCATAACAACTACAATTTACTTTTTAAAGTACCAAAAACCATGGGTTTAAAAAAAATTCTTTTTAATATTGTGAACTTGACAAACTTCAACAACCAGTACAATTCATTACACAGACAGAAAAATAGGACCACATGTGAATCTGTGAATCTCCACTATTACACAGCTCCGTCTTTTTTGAATATTCCAGACTTAACATAGTAGTTCTAACAATGTCCTGCTTGTCTCTGTCCCCTTCTGAACTTTCTTCTGTGTATCTCTCATGATTCATTTTCACTTTTCCTTAGTCACCCTCTTGCACTATTCAACTCAAAATAAAAGTTACACACACAAGCACAAAACCCAAATCCACATTTGGGCAATGTTTGAGGACGCAGGTCTTAATCTGCACCTCGAGGTCATCCTGTCTTCCAGGAGGTGAGAAAGAAGGCTTCTTCCTCAAGGGTCTGGAATCAAGGTGGGTCGTTGCATTCACCAGTTTTCAACTCTTTCACCTGTTGTTGTCCTTGAGGTGTTGCAGTCATTGTAAAAACGGTTCTCCTGGTTCTGAGAAATTATCTTTTTATCAATTCACACAAGGCTTCCCAAGTTTGTCTGAATCTGTCCCTCCTGTCACTTCTTATGGCACGATAATGCCACTGCATGAATATACAATTTGTTCAGTCATTTCCTGTTGATGGGCGCTCACTTTTTTTTCCCAGTTGTTAGAACAAACAATCGCAGCTTCAAATCTTTCCTTTCTCTTTCGTTGATCTTTTTGGGCACAGACACCTACTAGCGTTATCACTTGGTCAGAGGGTATACACAGTTCAGTGACTTTTTGGGGTATGGTTGTAAATTACTTTCTAGAACAGTTGGACCACCTCACAATTTCACCAACAGTGTATTAAACAATCTCAGATCTTTAGATTCCCCCTCTCCCCCAAAGATTGATGTGAAATTAATCTGCTTCTAGAATCCAATCCCATGCTCCCTCTGAAGAAAATTAAACAATGAATTACAAATCTCAAACTTTTAGCCTTTCTCATATCCTCCAAGATCCCTGCCAGCAATTCTTCAGTTAGTCTGTGACGTGTGGACTGGTCAGGGCTTAGACCATCTACAGCAAAGTGCTTTCTTACATTAAAAGCCAAATAGGGTGGGGAGGAGGAGAGGCAGAGATTAATGAGCACTCATGTAGGAATCAGAAGGTGGGCTAATTATTAACCATGCGAGCATGGGCAAACTGTAATCTCTCCGTTCCTCAGTTTCTTCACATTTATAAGAAAAGCACCTTGTAAAGGTAAAGTATTATATCATTGTGAACTAGGATTATTTTCTCATCTATTTGGGGGTCTCTATTCCCTCCCTCTTTAAGAACCTCTATATTTTAGGCATTGGGCTAGGTGCTTGGGGAAGTGAAGCTGAAAATGAAGAGTCTCTGCCTTAAGAGAGGTTACGTTCTACCAGCACAAACCATGTTCTACCCTTTTCAGCTGAAAAATCATTCTCTTCTCTGAGGGAGCCAGAAGAATAGAGGTTAAGTAGGTCTATTTTCTCTCTTCCCATGTTCACTTATCCAACTAACATTCTATTACACCATCTGTCCCAAGCAAATGGGCCTGTTCCTCTTCTTGCCTCAACAAAGCCAGGAGAGCCCTTCTTGTCGTTAACATTCTAAAATTTACTCAGTATATATTTTGCATGAACATATCTGTGGACAGGTTGCCTCCTGTCCCATGCATCCTCCTGCTTTGTGAAGACACAGACTGTTTACTTTGGGTTTTTTGTATACTCAGTGCCTTGCACACAGTAGGCATTTAATGAATATTTGTTCAATTGGATTTCTGGCTTTAGCCTTCTAGATACTACTCTCATATGCCATTTTTAAAAATATCTATCCCTGTTTACATTCCTTCATGTCCTAAAATGAGCTCACTAGAGAGCTTCCTAAGCAAACAACTGGTTTCTACAGCTGCCTTCCACTTCTCATGAACATTTCAGGTTTTATAGACTTTCATCCTTCCATTCAACAGACACTCATGAAGAATTGGCTAAGGCGCCCTACCGGGAAAGGGGAGCACAAAGAGTGAAAGAATCCATCCACGAAGAGCCGACAGTCTAGTAAAGGGGTGAGGTTGGCACACAAAGAGAACACAGAAAGAAAGAAAAAAGCTGGTTGAGCATAGACTTCAATCGATCAACACGTTTATCTACGAGGTCAGAAACAGTGCTAAGCAATGAGGATTCAAATACAAAATGAGGAATGGTCCCTGCCCTTAAGGAGCTTAGTTCTACTGGCGGGTGGAGGGCTATCACATGTTCAAAGATCCGTAGACGTGATATACTGAAGATAAATGTTAAGTGATGTGGGAGAAGGGGATGAATAACCACAGAAAGAAATCAGGAAGGAGGAGACGGGAGTTAAGGATTCCAAGATAAGGCATCAAGGAGAAATACCACCAAGACTAGGCAAAGACATGGAAATAGGGTAGGACAAGTCTGGCTGTTGGTCAGGGAATTGTAGGTGTTTCTACACCTGAACTGCATCCTTATTAGCAAGGTGGGAAGAGGGGTAACATGGCTGCCACCCTGATGATTGGTACATTTGGGAATATCCCCTACTCTGCTTTCACCCAAGAGAACTCCTGCAATCCCATCAGACATTTCTTCAAGAGTCTGCATCTTTCAACAGTTAAAAGCACCACTCCCCACATCCCTGCGAGGGTCTACGGAATCAGAGTTGGAAAGGCCTCCAGAGGCCATCTAGTTCAAAGCTTGCCTCAAATCCCAGGTCCTCCACCATCTGACAGCTCGTGTTATCAGGCCCTTGACACACCAGAGTCCAGTCAGATGTCATTACCCCTCCCCCTCCTCAGCACTTCGGGTCTCCTTGCCTTTGCTAAGGCTGCTCCCCAAACTCGTCATGCCCTCCCTATACTTCCCCTGAGTACCTCACCTATTTCTCCTTTAAAGCAGAGGTCCCTCACCTTTGGGTCATGGACCTCTTAAACGCATAAAATAAGCAAGTAGGATTGCAAAGAAAACATTATATTTAAGTAGTTATTTTAAAAAAGACAACAAAAAACCAAATTACTGGATGCCAAATTAAGAACCCCTGCTTGAAAGCCCGATTCCAATGCCACCTCCTCCAGGAAGCCAACCCTGAAGACCCTTCCCCACCTTTACCTTACAGTTCCATGTTGTCTTAGCCCCATTATTGACTCTGTAAGCACCACAAAAATAAGAATCTGCCTCTTCTTCTAAACTTTGTATGGCTCTGGTCCCTCGGATCTGCTACGCTGTTCTGCATATTGAATATGCTTAATAAATATTTATTGAATTTCTAGAACAGCATCATTCCCCAGAACCTTCCTGAAGGACTTTTGATAAGCAGTTCTCTGTTTGGTTTTTTTTTAAGGTTGTTTTTTTTTTTTTAAAGGGTGGTTAACAGGCCCTGGTTCTGGAGGGGGCTGGAACATGGGAAGGGCAGACCAAGAGAAGGCATAATCATAGCTAGCATTTCTATGGCACTTAAGAACCCAAATAGAAGTCAGAGCTCTTACTATCTCTATTTTACAAATGAGGAAACTGAGGCTAACAGAAGTTAAGGGACCTGCCCAGGGTCAAACAGCTGGTAAGTGTCTGAGGCCACATTTGAACTCAGGTCCTCCTGACTCTAGATCCTCCATCACCCTATGCACTGTGCCACACCAATATCTTGCCTTCTGGCCTAAATCTGCTCTGGACCATCATTTATGGGATCACTCCATTTACCCATCACCTAAACCCTTCTTGACCTAGTTTGCTACTCCTGGAGAAAATAACTTTTTTCATTTCTTCCCATCAGTGTGAAAACCGGGCTGACTGCCCCAATACTGAGTCCCTTCTTTTCTCTGGGTCCCAGTTTCTTCCTATGCAAAATAAAGGGCATGGGCTAGCATAGGGCTCAGAACAGGAAGTGACAGAGATCATGCCGTCTTTTCTTTCACTTTGCTGAGGAGGAATTTTCGGTCCAGGGAGAGAAGGCCCGGCAGCAGCAGAGCCAGATTCAAACAGGGCTCATTAGCCAAGTCTTTTTGTCACGACTTTGCTTGCCTAAGGTCGCTTCCAGCCCTGGAATTTAAAGCTTGGAGGGCTGTGGGAGGGCCAGGCACAAGGCTGGGGCCCCGACCAGCAAGTCATCGGTGCTGTCCTGTTTCTCTCCAAAGTATTTCCCTTCCAAAGCACTCGATGCTGACCTCTCTTAATCTACATGGTACCCATGACCTGGACCTGTCTCTCTCTATGGCTTCTCACCCCAACCCTGGACTATATAAGAGGCAGGGAGAGAGGGAGAAAGAACAGAAAAGACCCGTTTCCTAAGCCCTGGCTTGACCTGCTCAGCTCTTCACATAAGCCTTTCCCCAAGCACGACCATCCACTCCAGTACCCTCAAAGCCCAGGGAGCCGTTCACCCCTTCCCTCCAGGATCTTCCCTGGCCCACAGCTTCTAGAAAGGAAACACCAAAGCAAACCACCGGGGAAGGGAGGGTAATAACGGTGACGCCACCGTGGAGTTGTTTATTTTAAGAACCAAAAGGACAAAGTCAGAGCACACACCACCACTACCACCCCCAGGCACCTATTAAAATGACCCCACCCGCACAAGTGAAATAAATAAACACAGATTCTGCCCACCAACGGGAAATAAATATAGAGAGCTCCCAAAAAGCAGGGTTGTTTTTTAATAGGAAAAAAAAAAGTGTAGGGGAGGGTCACCTCTCCCATCCCGTTTTGTCCAGTCCAGTCCCAACCGGTCCGCTCGTGGGCATCGTGGGTCAGCTCAGGATCGAGCTCACCCACAGGGGAAGGGGGCATCCACACCCCAGGGGAGGAGAGGTAGACATCTTGGCACCGCAGCCCCTAGCGATGGGTCTGGGGGCCCTTCCTAGGGGCCCACCGGAGGACACAGTCCAGCCGTCTAGACTTGGAGCCACAGCCCACCCTACGGGAGGGGCGAGCCTCGCCCGCTCCTCCCACCCGGGCTCAAGAGCCAAATGGATGCAGGCAGCTCCGAGCGCAGGTCCCTGGAGTGCTGGGCTCCCACCCCCCAGCTGCGTCTCCCCGAGGGCCTCGCCTCACTTCTTGGAGCTCTGGGTCTTCTTGGGCAGCAGCACGGCCTGGATGTTGGGCAGGACGCCGCCCTGGGCGATGGTCACGCCGCCCAGCAGCTTGTTGAGCTCCTCGTCGTTGCGGATGGCCAGCTGCAGGTGCCTCGGGATGATGCGCGTCTTCTTGTTGTCGCGGGCCGCGTTCCCCGCCAGCTCCAAGATCTCGGCCGACAGGTACTCCAGCACCGCCGCCAGGTAGACCGGCGCGCCAGCCCCCACGCGCTCCGCGTAGTTGCCCTTGCGCAAGAGCCGGTGGACGCGGCCCACGGGGAACTGCAGCCCCGCGCGGGACGAGCGCGACTTGGCCTTGGCCCGGACTTTGCCTCCCGATTTCCCTCGGCCAGACATAGCGGGAGGAGAGAGAACCTGCAAGGGGACAAGGCGCTGAGGTCAGCGGTGAGGCCCGGGGTCCGCGCCACGGAACCCCTGGATCCTCCCGGGGCGGGCTCGCTATGCCGCCTACCTCGCTCCGTACCCGGGAGCTGCAGAGGCCTCTCGGCGGGCAGCAGAGAGCTGCACGCCCGCGGCGGCGGCAGCACCAGCAGGAGACACAAGCTCGCCGAGCCTGGGCTGGGCTGGCAAATATAAATAAAGACCCAGCCGCTGCTCACTTCCCATTGGCCACCGCGGGATCGGAGCTGGGCTGCGATTGGTGCGTCTTCTGATCCGCGATTTGCATAGGCCTGCCAGCAGACTCGTTCCAGCTACGGAGAGCTGGCGGCCCGCGCTCGGTGGCTCTTGTTTGGTAACTGAGCGTATGGATCAGCGGCCAGAGCGGGGCAGGCTCTAGAGCTGCTGCAGGACAGACAAGGGAGTGTCCAGTGGGGCACACGATGCTCTGTAAGCAAGCCTTTCCCCACGCTGCGGGAGAGCTCATCGGCGAGTTTCATCTCGCCGCGGAGCGACGTTTCCCTAACTGCTTACAGTCCCCGGCAAATTCCCTGAACACCTTCCCCGCCCGCTCCGCTGGGGCCTCCCTGCCTGGCCCATCCCGTCCCGTCTCTTTCGGAACCCGGGAAGATGGTACGAGGTCCGGTTTCCTCTCCTGCCCCGAGCAAGCATGTGCCCGGAGAGGCCAGAGCCCCGCAACTCTGCATCAGAGGCCCGCAGCTTGGCATCCCAGCCCCGCAGGGCGCAGCACGGCCCCACTACCTCCTCTCAGGGCCCGGGCGAGCTCTCAGGCTCCACCCTCGAAGAGCACCCGTCTCAGGCTCGGCCCGTGCTCTGGATTATCGCAGGTGAAAAGTTTCGGGCCGTGCTCAGGTGGCCCCGTCGGCTCTCGTTCGCCTCGCAGCCGATTTAAATGCGGGGTCGCACAGCAGTCCCAGCCCGGGTGTAAGAGAAAGGCCGGAGCTAGCAATGAAAAGTTCTCCCGGGCTTCCGCGGGCAGCATCGCCCCCCAGCCCGAGAGAGCAGGGAGAGTCGGCGGCCCCAGCCGGTTCCGCGGCCCTCGTTTGATCCATCAGGGTGGATCGTCTCTGCGGATCCCCAAGCCGTGGTCACCTGCGTGAGGGCGAGTTTCCCCAAAGACGGCAGTCGGACTGTCCGCCTTGAGGGGCCAAGGACGTCCCAAGAGATGGTCACGCTGCTCGGCTCAACGCCAGATGAGGCCGGCCATCGCCCCCCCCCCCCCCGAAAGTGGCTTCCCTGGGGCAGCTAGGTGGCACACTGGATAGAGCACCAGACCTGAAGTCAGGAGGTCCTGAGTTCAAATGTGACCTCAGACCAGACACTTGACATTTACTAGCTGTGTGACCCTAGGCAAGTCACTTAACCCCAGGCAAGTCACTTAACCCCAATTGCCTCACAAAAAAAGAAAAAGAAAAAAGAAAGAAAAAGGAAGCGGCTTCCTAATGTAACTCCAGCCCACCTTGTCTTTTCAGCCAAGCATTTATTGAGTACCTACTATGTGCAGGGCACAGTGCAAAACGCTGGGAATAGAAAGGCAAAAGGCAATTCCTGCCTTTGAGGACCTCACAATCTAATGGAGACAACATGCAAACAAGCTATTTACAGCATAAATGGGAAATAATCCACAACGAAAAGGCACTAGGTAGGATTAAGAGGGATTGGGAAAGGCTTCCCATGGAAGACAGTGTTTTAGCTGGGGTTTGTAGGAAGCCAGGGAAGCCGGGAGGCAGAGATGAAGGGGTGGGGCTTTCCAGACACGGGAGGCACACCATCTACTCCCCTAACCACTCACAACAGACATTTATCAATCTACTGATACTGTTGTATTCCTACTTTATAGCTTAAAATACAAATCAAATGCCTTCCCTAATACCAGCGGGGTTGGGAGGTGTTGCTTCCCCCACCTCAGACTTCTTATACCGGTTGTTTGTCCTTCCTTCTTGAAGAGGACCATGGTATCTGAAAGGTTATGCCAGGACACCTAAGTGAATTGGATTTAAGTGAGGGAGAGCTGTGCAAGGTCGCCAGCCTCACCTTCTCCTTGCAAGCCATCTGGGCCTAGTGGCAAGACAGAGATCAGAAGACTGGAGAGGGCCCCTTATACCAGTTGACTCCATAACAATAATGAACTTATCTGGTAAAGTCATGCATTCAACAAATATTAGGTACATTAAGTGCTCTGCACTTGGCATAAGCTTAACAGATTTTTGTTGAAGGATCCTTGCTATAGACACTGGAGATGCCAAGTCAAGTCTACCCTCAAGGAGCTTACATAGGGGAAAGGGGGAGGCAGAGGGCAGGGAGGGATTAACAGTTAAGACAAATAAATACAGGGTAATATGAGGGGGGAGAACTCTGGAGGCACACCCTTGTATCTCCCCTAGCAATTGGAGGTGGGAGGAGGAATAAGAATAGGGAGGATTCCATGAGGACCTGACCTGACTTGGGGGATGGTTATCTTGAGAGTCAAAATTGAGGATGGAGAACACTGCAAAGTGGGAGACTTGGTGCAAATGCCCTGAGGAAATGAATTTAATGGATGACAGCCTGTCAATTGGTTTAGAGTCAGCTGGTGGAAAGCCCTAAATGCCAGGTTAAGAAGTCTGTATTTTATCTTAGACACAAAAGGGAACTATTAAAGGTTTCTGAACAGGGATTACCAGGCTCAGAGTAAATGAATGAAGTGTGTAAGTAGAATCCAGAATAGCTGAGGATTCAGACCTTGGTTACTGGAATAGAGGTACCCTCAACAGAAACAGTTTAGAGGAGGGGCAGGTTTTCCAGTTAAAGGTGAATTTTGTTTTGGGCAGTCTAAAATGCCAGTGGGAACATCCAAGTGGAGATGTGACAAAGGGCAGTTGGTAATCTGGGTCAAGTTTTGCAGAAATCTGTATATACAGATTTGGGAAATTTACATAATCAGATCTATATGGATCTATGTGGTCTCATTGGTCTAGATGAGATGCAGAACAATATCTGGGGACCTTTTTCAGTTTCTTTTGACACTGAAAGAATACTAGTAGACCACTCAAGCTTTCAGTGTGTGACCAGCCCATCTTTTTTCCTCATACTTTTCCCAATGACATAAATTAATAAACAGATGAGATCACCAAGAAAGTATAGAGAAAAAGTGCTGGACACTGATATTGTGTAATACCAGTGTTTATGGGGTAGAAAATGGATCATGAACTGGAGAATGATCATATAGGTAAAAGAACTAGGACAAAGCAATGTCATGGAAGACAAAGGTGAGTAGGAAGGGGTGGTCAAAAGTGTCAAAACTACAGAAAAGTCAAGTAAGATGATGACAAGAGTTTAATGGAGTGCCTGACACATAGAAAGTCTTTAATAAAAGGCCACTGGATTAACCTTTTACCTTCAATGGGAATTTCAGAGAAACATGGTAAGTCTTACAGGAACTGAACAGTGAAGAAAGCAGAACCTAGAGAAAAATATACATTCAATGACTACAAAAGTCTAAATAAGAACAAAAGACAGCTGAATTCACGTTAAACACAATTACCAAGGTTTCGGACCTGAGGACTTCCTCTCCATAGGGGAAGGAGTAGTGTGGATACCTAATGTTAACATACAGGCAGGCAGGTGGATGGAGTTCAAGGACTGGAGTCGGAAAAATCATCTTTCCTGAGTTCAAATCTGGCCTCCAACACTTACCAGCTGTGTGACCCTGGGCAAGACACTTAACCCTGTTTGCTTCAGTTTCCTCATCTGTAAAATGAGAAGGAAATGGCCAGCCACTTCAGGATCTTTGCCAAAAAAGCCCCAAATGGAATTATGAAGAGTCAGATACAAATGAACAACAAATGTCACATCATACATTTGAGTAACGGCTGTGATCGACTTTGTCAATTGCCTTGCCTTTTTCTTAGTAAAAGGAAAGATTCTACTGGGGGCAATTGAAAAGAGATTGTAGAAGTTACATGAGGTCAGGAACACGATGTTTGTACACAATGAGTGTGTGCTGAATGAATCTTAGTGGCTGATTAAATTTAGATTAGAATGAAATCTGGTGTGAACAAATTTATTTATATACTACTTTTTATTTGTTAATTTTCTCAAATGTGTATATATTGTCCCCTTAAAAAAGCTGTAAGTCAGCTCTTTCAGCACAGAGACTTTTGTTCTTGTATTCCCCAGGTCATCTGGCACAGGACCGAGGCCCTACCATAAAGTATTCAATATCTTTGCTGCACTTTACAAGATCATAGAACTGGAGCTGGAAGGACCTCAGAAGCATTTAGAACAATCTCATTTTACAGATGAGGAAACTGAGTGAGGCCCAGATAGGTTAAGTGCCTTGCCCAGGGTCAAAGGTAATACAGATGATCTGCAGACATCTTGTGACTCAAGGCAGTGTTTTTCCCCCTGTACCATACTGCCTCATAATTTAATTGAAGAATGAAGGGGTGATTTGCTGACAGCCTTTACACCCTTAGTTGATATCCTCTATGAGGATGAATGGGGGGTGGGGGGTAGGGGGGTTGGGTATCCCGAGTCCAGATTATTAAAGCATTATATAAATGTCAACTAATACTATTTGCTAAGCACATAAAGAGAAAATATATAAAAAACTTGACAAGGAGCCACTGAGAGTTTCTTTTTATTATTTCCAAATCGATGATTTCCATACAGAAACCAAACAGCACTTCCCAGCCAGCGTGATTCCTCAGCCCTTTCGACGTATTCTGTCATTGGGAAGCTGAGCGGGACCCCACCGACAGGAAAACTAATGTCACCCCAACCTCCTTCACAGCTCCCCTTCCAATGTCACACTCAAACCCAGAAAAATCCATCATCAAAAGACCAAACCACAATACTCCAAAGGTCAAAGAAACATCACAAAAAGCTGGATGAACTAATTTTGGACCTCCATAATAGGTCCTAACCCTAGGTAACCCTAGTCTCAGGAGAGGTCATAAGCTATGCCCCTCTTCTGTGAACCTGGCTCTTTGGGAATTACTCTTCGCCCTTGAACTCTGCCCTACTGAAGGAGCAGACAGTTTCTCTGAGCCTGCTGAGCCCAGAGATGACATCTTAAAGCCTCAGAGACAAACACAAAGGTTCTGGTCCTTTAATTCTACCAGGCCACACCTGGCAAAGATCACTGCACGTTCCTGAGATACAGATTTTTATATAAAACCCAAACTGGGCTCCTCCCACCACCGGCTGCACAACTGTGATAGCCTGCAATCCATGACCTCATTGTGCCACTCACTTTGTCAAATTCACATAAACAACTTGAAGAAGATAGCTGAACACGAAACCCAAAGAATGAAAAACGGGGGAAAATTTCAAGTACGATAGCCTTATTAGAGAGACATTAGGCATTCAGTATAACAAAATTTAAGACAATTCAAGAGCTAAATTTGGTTCAATAGTCTTTTTCCTACCCTGACTTTGTAAATAAAAAAAAAAATAATAACATACACATAGTAAGTTGCAGTTGTGGGGGAAAGAATACCAATCAGAGAAAGAAAAGCTCCTCCTAGCCCAGTATGGCCATTTTTAGCACCTGGACTATAGGGGGAGAAGAGGTGGGAACAAAAGCTGCAAACTGGGAACCCCTGGAAGAGACACCTTGATGGGGAAGAGTTAGGAATCAGGGGAGCTAAAAGAGGATATCTTGGCCACCCTTAGGTGTCAACAGAGAGAGGCTCCAGACATTTATCTGACTAAAACTTGGGTCTCCTGTTATGGCGGGTCTCGTGCTTTTTCAGCCACCGTTCCATTAACTCTGCACTGGCTCTCTGGGAAGAAGAGCTCTTCAGTGCAAAATACCTGGACCTCTTGGGAGGGTCAGGGTCTTCCTTTGAGGGGGATTTTGGTGTCATCTTCCGTCGGCTTGGAATAATGTAGGGCATCTATAAGGACATAAGCAAAATCATCATTTTAAGGTTAGTATTGAAACTCAGTCACATTCTGTGCTCCATATTATCTAAGAACTTTGCCCAAATAATTTCACTCAATTGTTCATCAGGCAGAGAGGTGATTAGGGATTTCTGGCAGTGATTTAATTAACTGTACCTTCTACCTAATCTCAAATAATCTCCCCTCTGTCATCAATTTCTCCCACTTCACCTCCTAGCCATGTCCTCACAATGCTGACTCCGCTTTGGCCATCATCCTCACCTTAATTCCCCCAAAACCTTGGACTCTGCCCCTTGGGTGGCTGTTAATAGCCAGGGGCTCCCTGACTGCTCTCCCACAGCAAGAAACCACATCCCCACCAGTTGGTAGATTTGACTATCAGGTTCCAGCCATAACTAGCCCCCTAAGGGTCAGGAAAAGAGGGAACTACCCTGACTCCATTTTGGCTTCTACATGGACAAATCTCTGGTGCCACTCTGCTCCCAAGAATGACTCATCCTGGTCACCCACTGTTCCCTCCCCTGCCTAAGCTGTTCCTCAGCTGAATAAACCTGCCCACCTTACCCAGATCCTACCTCTAGAGCAGGCTGTGGGAATTCTCTTAGTCCTAGGCCTATAGATCTTCAGCCAGACTACTAATCTCCTGGCAGCTGGAATTGGAGAGAACAAGGGCCAGAACTATGAATTCCACGTCCCAACGAGGACTCTTGTTTCTTTAACCAAGACTAAGACTGGGACGAGGGTCTTGCCCCAAACCTCCCTGTGTCCTTCAGTTCCCCTCCTCTTGACCTCTTAAGCTTAACCAGGAGGAGGACAGTGGCTTGGCTCTAATATTCTGAGTAGCTTTGTCTCGTCTAGAATGACCCTCTCACTCCCCTCCTTTCCAGTTACCCTTTATGTATAGTCTTCTCACTTTAGAAGATAAGCTCCTTGAGGGCAAAGGCTATATTACTTGCATGTATTTGTATCCCAAGGACTTAGCAAACTGCCCTGAATAGTAAGCCCTTAACAAATGGATCTCTCTTAGAAAAAATAATAAGATTCATTTGGAAGAACAAAAGGTCCAGAATATCAAGGGAACTAATGAAAAGACATGCAGAGGAGGGTGGCCTAACCTTTCCAGATCTTAAATTGTATTATAAAGCAGCAATCATCAAAACTACTTGGTACTGGCTAAGAAATAGAGTGGTGGATCAGTGGAATAGGTTAGGTATACAAGACACAGTAGTCAATGACTATAGTAATCTACAATTTGATAAACCCAAAGATCCCAGCTTCTGAGATAAGAACTCAATATCTGACAAAAACTGCTGGGAAAACTGGAAAAGGGTAGGGCAGAAACTAGACGTAGACCAAAATCTCACACCATATACCAAAATAAAGTCAAAATGGGTCCATGATTTAGATATAAAGACTGATACTATAAGTAAACTGGGAGAGCAAGGAATAGTTTACTTGTCAGATTTATGGAGAACAGAAGAATTCATGACCAAACAAGAGATAGCCATTTTGCATTTCATAATGTTCTCTAATTTTGATTACATTAAATTGAAAAGTTTTTACACAAACAAAGCCAATGCATCCATGATTAGGAGGGAAGTAGAAAACTGGGAATTTTTACAACCATTATCTCTGATAAGGGCCTCATTTCTAAAACATATAGAGAATTAAGTCAAATTTATAAGAATACAAGTCATTCCCCAATTGAGAAATGGTCAAAGGATATGAACAGGCAGTTCTCAGATGAAGAAATTAAAGCCATCTGTAGTCACATGAAAAAATGTTCTAAATCACTATTGATTAGAGAAATGCAAATCAAACCAACTCCGAGGTTGACTGTAAGGGCCACATCACACCTATCAGATTGACCAAAATGACAAAACGGGAAAATGATAAATGTTGGAGAAGATGTGGGAAAATTGGAACACTAATGCATTGTTGGTGGAGTTGTGAAATGATCCAACCATTCTGGAGAGCAATTTGGAACTATGCCCAAAGGGCTATAAAAATGTGCATACCCTCTGACCCAACAATATCACAGTAGGTCTGTGAAAGAAAGAAAGAAGGACTTAAATGTACAACAATATTTATAACAACTCTTTTTGTGGTGGTTAAGAATTGGAAATTGAGGAGATGTCCATCACTTGGGAAATGGCTGAACAAGTTGTGGTATATGAATGTCATGGAATACTATTGTGCTATAAGAAATAATGAGCAGGCAGACTTCAGAAAAACCTGGAAAGATTTGTATAGACTGATGCTGAGTGAAGTGAGCAGAACCAGGAGAATGTTGTACACAGTAACAGCCACGTTGTGAGATGACTAATACTGATAGACTTAACCCTTCCAGCAATACAAGGATCTAAGACATCTCCAAAGGCCTCAGGATGGAAAATGCTCTTCACATCCAAAGAAAGAACTATAGAGCTTGAATGCAGATTGAAGCATACTACTGCTATTTTTTTTTCTTCTGTTGTGTTTTGTTTCCTCTTTCTGGTGGTTCCTCCTGTTGGTTCTAATTCTTCCTTACAACATGACTAATGTGCAAACATGTTTAATAGGAATGTATATGGATAGCCTACATCAGATTGTGCACTGTCTTACGGAGGGAGGTGGGGAGGGAGGGGAAGAAAAATTTAAAACTCAAAAGTTTATGGAAATAATTGTTGATAAATCAAAATAAATTAATTTTAAAAAATAGGTCTTTCATTCAACCCTAGCCCCAGATATTTCTCACTATGTTATATTGTCAGCCCTTATGTCCAAAGTAACAGCCTACTGGTATATGGGTGGGTCCCTGCATTGTCCAACACCTTCTGGCTCTGCCACTATTTCATATTTCTATGGGTCTCTTTTTCTAAGTTACATGTTGGCTGCAGTTCTCTCTTTTGCTTTTTTTTTGTTTTTTTTTTTGTTGGGTTGGGCCATGGGGGTTAAGTGACTTGCCCTGGGTCACACAGTTAGTAAGTGTTTTGTGTCTGAGGCCGCATTTGAACTCAGATCCTTGTGAATCCAGGGCCGGTGCTCTATCTGCTGCACTACCTAGCTGCCCCCCAATTTTCTCTTTTTTAAAATGAAAAAAATACCTCCAAGTTTCCTACTCAAAGGGCTCTTGTATGGAGGCAGAGCCAAGAAGGCGGAGTAAAAGTAGTGACTTGCTTGAGCTCTTCCCCAAATCCCTCAAAGGGCTCTTGTATCAAAATAGATACTACATGTCACATCCTTCGAAAAATTTAAGAAGCTAAATAAATATTAGATGTTGCCATTATTATTTTGGAGAAAGCATATTTGGGCCATGTTAGCACATCATTTAGATTCTCCAAATTCCACCCCTCCTTTAGGTCGAACCATCAGAAATCAAAGTATTTAGCCTTTGTTACAGCATGGCGTACTGGACTTGGGAGTCAGAAGATCTGGCTTACAATCCGGGCCTTGCCACACTTCCTAGCTAGGTGACTTACAAGTCATCCTCATTTGTAGGAAAGAACTATCTGTACAGTTACTTCAGGGCTATTCTGATGATTAAACTGAAACAAAAAAATGAATGCTTTTTAAGTCTTCAAGTGTTATTGTCTCTGTGTCAGTTATTATCATCATCTTCCTCCTCACCTCCAGATACCTTCAATGCATTTCAATTTAATATTAGGTACTTTTCCTTTTCAGAGAATTGCTATAAGAGCCATATGAATAGTATGGCTTTTTCCTCAAAAAGAAATGTCTGTTTAACAGTAACATAGTATATTCCTGCTTGAGTTTAGTTGGGGGGGAAGGTTATTTTAAGACAAATTAGATACTTTATTTTTATCAGCAAATGAAAACAGTGTTAGATATTTCACTTTTTTTGCCTCAGCTGCCAGGAAAAAGAGCTAGATTCAGAGTCTTTCAAGTATCTAGTAGCATCGACTCCTTCTGTTTTAAGATTATTTCTGTTCAGTTTTTATCCCTAATTGTTCTACCTTATTTTACTTTTTACTTTTCCCAAACTCTTTTTTATTTTTTTTTTAAATTTTTTTTCCCCAAATCCTTTTTTAAATGAAGGCAGGCCACAAATCTAACATTAATAAATCATGCATATCCACAGAGCAAACAATGCTGTTCTATACTCAAATGTAACCTGATAAATTCTGTGGACTGCCTGGTCAGCTAAGTATGCTTCCATGCTTTGTGAAATGTCTTAACGCATACTGTTTGACAGCAGAAAGCAGCACATAAATAATAAAAGTTTCTATTTTTTTTTGAGCCTAAAAAGGCCACTAAAAGGCTTGGTTCAAAGATATTAAATAAATGTAATCCAATGCCATCCTCTGTTAACAGTGATGATCTTGAAATAAAGCCTGATGGAATGGGAGCTCCTTCAGATTGAGTATTGTTTCACTTTTCTCTTTGTCTCCTCGGTACCTAGGACACAGTGACTGGTAGAGAGCAGGTGTTTAGTGAATGCACCTTGCTGACTAACTGTTAACCAATACAAATACTGCGGCTTGGTATCCATGGAGTGCTTAACATAACAGAAATAACTGTTGTTGGGTTTTTTGTTTTTTTTACTAATACTTTAACCTTACATTTTGGTAGCGATTACTTTTTATTAGAGTTTAAAATTTTACAGACATCTTGGGAATAATGTCAAATGACAGGCCTGCAGATGGCCTGCAAGAGAAGGAAATAAAAAGAAAAAAAGGGAGGATTACTGATTGATAGGCAGGCCAGAAGATGGACAAAAGAGTACACAAAAATTCCTCAGGTGGCAAAATCCAACTCATTTTAAACTCATAAACAACTGTCCCCGTAATTCCCATGACAGATTATTCCACATTTAGAACTAGTGAAAAATTGGTGCAGCTAAGTGGCACAATGGATACAGCACTGGCCCTGGAGTCAGGAAGACCTGAGTTCAAAATCAGCCTCAGACACTTGACACTTACTAGCTATGTGACCCAGGGCAAATCACTTAACTCCACTGCCTAGCCAAAAAAACAAAACAAAACAAAACATAAACTTGTGAAAAACCACCACTTTTCTCCTGCCTTTGTAACTTGAACCAATCTCTAATGCTTGGGACATTCTCCCTGAGATCTTTGGGATACCTGCCTGATCTAACATTTCCACTCTGGGCCCCTTATTGACTTTTATTAGCTCAGAGCTCATCTCATTAATCTTCAGGGATAAAATTATAAACCAGTATTCTTACTCCCTACCTCCACCTACAATGGTACTATGCTACTCATAAATAATAAAAATAATTTTAGGTGGTTCTAAGGTTAGGGTCCCGGATAGAGAAAAAGAACAATTTTTAAATCAAAGTCACTCTGACATACAGTATTTACATGTCTGCCTAATATTCTCTGTCTTAATCACTCTTACCTCTTCGATCTCAACAGGTTCAAGACACTGGGGTGTATTGTTCAAGGAGTTGTTCACAATAGTAGAAACTGGATGGAATGTAATGTTGTCTACAGGACGAATAACCTTCAGAGCTTCATAAATTGGGACCTCACCAAAATCCAGCCATTTAGCAATTGCTTCCTCACCATCCAGTAAAGCAGGCATCCTAGCCAGAATGGTAAATGGTAAAAAGAGAGGGAGACAGGATGTTGGACTCTTTTAAAGAACCACTCAAACATTACAAGGGAAAAAAAAAATGGTGAGTTACATTCAAGCTCCTCACTCAGCCTTCCTTGTTCCCTGTTGTCATGGACCTAAAGAAATATCAAGGAGTCTTCCTATATGGTGATCTTGTTACAATCTAAATTCATCATAAGGCAGAAGTGCAGCCTGGGAGCTTTTATAACAATCACATTTTAACACTTGCCTATAACAAAGTTCAATCATTAGACTCTAATGGCATGGGCAATATGATCAGTATGAATACAGTCAACTCAAAGGGTACTATAGAGAAAATCAATGCATTTGAAAAGAAAGATCAAGTAGACAATTCTAGCTTGTATTAAATAGAAGCCAGTGAGGTAACTTGCTTATTAATTATCAAGAATGGGCCTCATTAACTACAGAAGACTTGTAGTAGGAAAGATTCAGTCTCCTTATTTTATATGAAGGGCAAAATGAGCCACAGAAAGGAAAAGAGCTTGTCCAATGTCACAAAATGCATCAGGACTAGATCTCCAGCCCAACTCCCAGTTCATCGTCCTTTTTCTTATTCTATAACCCTTTAGAAGAGAGAACAGAAAAATAATTAGATGATAAATCTTGTGTCTCGATGAAGAAAGAAAAACTCCCTGATACTTTTGGTCTCCACTGGAAGATGCTTAATCGGGCCTCCTCACTTGCCTGTGATGAATGTCACTTAAGGCTTTGCAGGAGTCCACTGTGATGACAGTGTAAGAGTACAGCGGCTCGCCTCCATTTGGTGGCTGCCAGCAGTCAAAGATTCCAGCCATTGTTAGCAGCCTCCAGTCATCCCAGACTTCCTCATCCACTGAACGGCTGAAGAATGACTGGAAACAAAAGACAGAGGAAGATCCCAGAATCACACTTTTTCCTTCTGCCCATGGGGCACATTCTCCAACTAAAACAATGGAAACATTCGAGAAGGAATTCAGCCCATGTCTTATTTTCCATTTATATTCTTTTATCCCTATGAACAATAATTAGTAATAATAATAATAATACATAGAAGAGATCATATTTAGAATTAAGAGCCCTGGCTATTTATTCCTACCAATATTATAAACGCAGAAAACTCATTACAATTGCCATACTTACGTGTACATTTAATAAATATGTACTGAAGATAACGGAATGTAAAAGCATTTATTAAGCACTTACTATATGCCAAACATCATGCTAATGCAAATAGAAAAGTGAGACTATCCTTGCTCCCAAGGAGCACACAGACAAATTGGGCGAGACAACACATAAAGAACAGCTCAGTTCATGGCAAACAGAAAGGCCAGGTGGTACTTAGGCTGGAAAGGAAAAGTAGCAGAGCAGATGGTAAGGTCCTGAGGATCCTGGGAAGCAATAACAGGGCAGACAGTCCCTGAACAAGTAGTGAATGAGCTCAAGGGTCAGAGTGGAGGGGGACTCTGGGACACCTCCTGCAGAGGGGGGGGGAATCGAGTTTCAGCAGCCAGGTGAGAGTAGATGTCCAGTGTCTGGAGGACAATGGGGCAATTAGGAGGACCGGGAAGGGGAAGGTCTGTGGCTTCCCAGATGATGCCCAATAGTGCTGGTCCCGACGCATAGGCAGCCTCTTGGCAACCTGGGTTGGGAGAGGAAGCAAGCTAAAAATAATTTCTCCAGATATGCATCTCCAAGTTTGCAACTAAGGAAGTAGAAATTTAAAGGGATGGTCCCTTAAGGTCATAAAGTAAACTGTGGCTGTGATAGGAATAAGCCCTAATGACTCCTGACTGCTAGTTGTTTTAAATGGAATTATCATATACAACAATTAACCCAAAGAGAAGCAAGACTACATCCTGGAAAGAAAAGGCATTGAAGGGATTAAGTGATACATGGGCAATGTTTTGAACTACTTTTTTCTTCCAATCTCTGAGTATTCTTGAAGACTTATTAAGCCAGGGTCCTAATTAACACTTTTAACTACCATGGTAGCGCTTCTAGATGGAAGAAATAATCTTCGAAAAATTAACTGGCAAGGATCTGAAGGCTCAGTTATACAACTTGCTCCTTTACAAGATAACCATCCCTTGTCCCAATAGGCAGTAAGAGCAGAGCACCAGTGATTCTATTTGTGGCAAACAAAAAAAACAAAACCAAAAACAAACATCCAAAATGTTGATAGCAAGTCTAGTCACAAAGCATTAAAGTAAGGAAGTAAAAAACAACAACATTTTAGTCCCACTACTGGCGAGCACTTCAAGTATATGAGCAAGTTGCAAACTCCCAAGCATAGTTGCTAATTATAAAATGACATTAAATAGCTTTAGTCTGCTGACATATCACATAGGTGCAAGCACCCAACCACTTGTTGAACAGAGGCCATAAAGTGAAATAGCAGATTCAATTCAGCCAACATTTATCAAATACCCATTATACATAGAGTGTTGTGCGAACCAAGCAGGGTGATACAAAGATAAGTATAACATAGCACCTATTCAAATAAGGGGACACGATACACACACAAGTAACTGCAGTACACAGTAAATAAGTTTGTAAAAAGTATAAAGTGCTATTTGAAGTCCAAGGTTAAAAAGACTAGCCAATAACAAACAACTGAGATCCCAGGAGAGCTTTGGAGACCTTCATTACATCAGGGTATACTATCTTTCTATACAATTGCCTCAGTCTCTACATGTAAGGTTACTCTCCTTGTTATACAACAGGGGAGCTGAGGAGAGTGGATAGCAGACTCCCCCCAACAATGAGAAATCCAAAACAGAAAATGATACCACCTGAAGGAGAGTCAATGCTCCCAAAAGACAACGAAAGCAAACTAAATATATGAATCTGAAATTTAACACTTCAAAAAGGAAACTAAGCATTGTCTGTCTTATGAGCATGTTAACACAATACTGCTGAAATGTCTTGTTCAATTTCTTTTTAATATTCCGTTGTGTCAAAAGACTAATGATGAAGTATACTTCCCACCTCTTGTCAGAGAGGTGATGAATGACTTGACTATACTATATATCTGTTACAAGGGAAGGCTTCTACAATGGAAGGGAAAGAAGGGGGGAAGGGGCGAAAAGTTGATGGGTAGTGATAATGATGGAAAAAAAATAAAGGGCATCAATAAATCATTAAAAAATACACAGAAGAGAGAGGACATTCACAAAAGAACATAGACTGTAAGGCAATTTTGTTACTATCATGTGAATTCAACATATATTTAAACCCAAACTATGTAACAAAAATTTAATTTATATAAAACCCACTTTTCTGTCCTCCTTTGTATGTTGAAATGTTCATGTTTGTTGAACTTGGTAAGTTTACAGTAAAAAATAAAATAAATTTATTTATTTATTTATACCAAATAAATTAATTTGGTGTATGTCCTTACCAAATGCATTTGTCTTAAAAGGTAAGCTCCATAAAAGAAAAATGTCCTTTCTTTTATTAACTTGTTTCTGGTACCTGGAACCAGTATACTATTCCATATTAATTATAGCTACTTAATAAATGTTTTCTAATGAGTATACCTGTTCTGTCTTGATTTGGGGGAAGTAGATGAAATAAGGCTGCTTTTCTCCCCGAAACTGCTGCCACTCAAAAAACCCATCTGCCAGCACCACACATCGCCTGCCCTTTTCCAGAGGCACCTGAGAGAAGACCAGAATAAAACATATCACATCAGAGTTGTTGTTAGGTCAGAGAAGAGAAAAACAGGCCTACCTACAAGACAGGAATGATCATTGATCCAGAGTAGAAAGGATTGATACTGTAGATGCCAGCAAATTTCATTACACAAATTAATGCAATGAATCCTTAGTCCTTGAACCAAAACAATGCCAAGCCTTGTCATTTCACTTCGACATTCAACTAACAAACCATTTTTGTAATTTATGGGGACAGAAGAATAGAATGACATCCTCACTATCCCAAGATCCTTCCTCTTCCATGGTACATGAAGCACAGACATATACAATCAGCCTTCTACCTCTCTACAGAACAGCAGCAGCACAAGGCTAGTAGAACTGATACTACATGGTTAAGAGGAAAACAATGTTGCTGTTGCATTAAATTCACTGAATCAGATCGGTTAGAGGAGAATATCCTTCCAATCAGATCATGCAACAAGGTCTGGGCGTTTAATCATGAAGACATAACTTTGTCCCCACCGTGTGCTTCCAAATACATTGAAGGACTCTTGTCTGTGAACCCCAACTCTCAAGGGTTATTTATTGCCGTCACCTAACAGGTGGAGATCCCTTTTTTATTCACTTCTTCATCTCCATAACTTAAAAATACCTGTTTATTAATGTCACTGTTCCATCACTTACATTTTTCACTGTATCCTTCACCCACCACTCTCCCTCTCATAAAGCCATTCTTTTTAATAAGAAATTTGTAAAGGGAAAAAAAGGACCACAATACTAAACAACGCAGGTCCCTCACCTCTGCAATGAAACAGGTGAGGTCTTTTCATGGCTCCCCTTTGGGGACCAGCCTGGTCACTGCAGTTTCAATTATTTTGCTGTTGTTCTAACCAATTACATTGTTGGAGTCATTGTGTACACTATTTTCCTGGTTCTGCTCATTTTGCATCAGTTCATTTAAGTCGTTTCATGCTTCTCCAAATTCATCATTTCTTATAGCACAGTAATATTCCAGTATGCTCATGTACTACAATTCGTTGAGCCATTCTCCAAATGATTGGCATCTACTTTGTTTACAATTCTTCGCTTTCATAAAAAGTGCTGCTACAAATATTTTAGTGTATACTTTCTGTTACTGACATCCCTGGGGCACGTGCCTGGCAGTAGAATCTTCTAGGTCAAATTATACAGGCATTTTAGTTTATTTATTTTTGCATAATTCCAAATCTGCAACTTTCTAAGTCAATGATCTCCTTTTATTACCTTAATTAGATTTCAGGAATCTCCCTTTCATCTTATTTTTAAGTATCTTTGTTTGATAATATCTCTGGATATCTTTCTCTCTTTCCATTACGAAGACTGGTAACCACAAACCTCTGATCCTCTAACTCCAAAATACACCACTTCACAATTGCTGATTTCTGCCCAATATAATTGGCACAAAGCATTTCATACATCACCAGTACCTTCTTTAAGAAACTTGTTTGAAAGACACACTAATTTTACTTCAAAAGATTTTTAAAAATCCAAAAATGTTATAATCCTTTTCTGTTACAATCACGTAAATTGGCTCCTCCTTTCCAAAAGGATCTTAGGATGGTGCTTCACAACATTTTTCAATCTATCACAAGCATGGAGATGTATAAAACTGGTCTAGCACATACAGTGGAGTAAGAGGGGAGAGGGGAAGGGAATAAGCTTCTCAAAGAAATTTAATAATGAGGTCATTTAGACAATATGGTGGATGCAAACAGAGGCGTACAAAGCGATTCAATCAGTCGGATTCTAACATTAGAGCAACAGGGAGATAGGATCAGAGAAAGAAAGAGGAAATAAGGATGAAGTCCATGGGAGGTGTTCCCTGCAACAGCCCAGGCAGGAAAGGAGCTAGTTTATGACAACATGTGAAGAAGGATTTTGTTAATGAAATGATTGGAAAACACTGGTTTACAGTCAGAAAAGGATGATGACTGTAACCCTTTAAAGATGAATCCTTAATTTATTTCTTGGGCAGACAGGTGTAATAGATGGCTTCTGAAGGAACAAAAATGAGGATTCTCTTCTACCCCAAGAGAGTCATACCTACCTTGTATGACCGTCTCTCCATCATGGTTTCACTTCGACAGTTGCTAGTGCTGAACTGCATCTTTGAAGCATCAGCCTCTCTGAACCAAGACGGAATCAAGCCCCAGCGCATTGCGGCAATTACCCGATCACAAGGGTCAGCATCCTGTCATGGGAAACAAACAGGTAGCTAATCAAAAGAGGCTCATGTGCAATTTATCCTTTTACTTGACTTTCACTGTCTCTAACAAAGACAAACTGGACAAATGACTGGGAACTCTGGAAAATTAAGTTGGCTGTGGACACTTCTTGCTTCATATCCCTTTAAACAACTTGAACACAAAGAGATATAGGCAAGTTTTTAGAACTAAAAGATTCAGCTTCCAAGAAAAAAATGACTTACCAAAATTAGGATAAGCAATCCCTTTCCATTAGTCATGATACTTTCTCGTTATTAACATCAACAAACATTTATTGAGTGCCTGGAACGTTTTAGACCAAGTAACAGATGATCTAAAACACAAAGGGATAGTTTTTGCCCTCAAAAAATAAATAACAAAGCAAAGCAACATATGCTAAATGCTAAACGAATGGGATAGAAGATAGGAATGGAGAGTTAATCAGCAAGGGCTGAGACTGGTCCATGGAGGAGGTCCTTTCTTTCACTGATGTAGGTAGATTCAAGCTAAAAAAGCCTGAACAAAGTGGAGAAGGGGTTCCAGGTACAGGAAATAGCACAAACAAAAAACTTGTTTGTGAAAAACAGCATCAGTGTGGTGACAGCAGAAGCATCATGTGAGGAAATAGTAGGAAAAAAAGCTGGAAAGGCAGGTAGAAAACCAGTTTTTAAAGGGCAAACCAAGGTGTTTACCCTGTGGTAACTGGAAGGGAGTAAAAAAATTTTTTTTTCTTTTTTGCTAGGCAATAGGGTTAAGTGACTTGCCCAGGGTCACACAGCTAGTAACTGTTATGTGTCTGAGGACAGATTTGAACTCAGGTCCTCCTGACCTCAGGGCCAGTGCTCTATCCACTGTGCCACCTAGCTGCCCCGAGTAAAAATATTTTAGGAAAATTAATCTGACAGTGGTGTGCAGGCTGGACTGGACTGGACCAGGACAAAGTGGAAGCAGGTAAACTACTGCTGTAGTAGTTTGAATTCAAGGTGATGGGGACCTGGACCAAGGTTTTGTCTATTCTATTCCATCAGGAAGAAGCTTGTCTCCAGGTGAAATGGAAAAGAAGGAAAATATTTAGTGACAGATAAGATTTAAGGGAGAAGAAAATTATTCATTCAACAAACTTTTATTAAGTGTTTACTATGAATCAAGGATTACATTAGTCATCCTTAAGAAAAATGATAAAGGATTTCCAAGACTCAAGACTTTAGCATGATGGTCAATTTCAGTTACATACAAATATCCTGCTCCAAGTTTTAGCTTCTCTTTTGAGAAATTCCTTTTTTCTTTTTTTTTAAATTGCATCTGTGATTCGATCAGTAAAAGGAACTCCCAGGAAGACGATTCCTCTAACTCTTTCACTTACAGGCTTCGGGCACTTGAGAAAGCTGTGTGTCGCGTACGTGACTTGCCCAGGATCACACGAGCAAGAAGCATCAAAGACAGTACTTGAGTCTAGCTCTACAGGATGCCTCTCACTTCTTCCTTTTTATATCTTACATTCAGAATTATTTTTCCAATGAACTAATAGCCCTGGTTATACCATGTCAAATTATAGTAACTTCTAATCACATTTGCAAGACTAAAATATCTCTCTAATACAAATAAAATATTTCAGGGATCTGTGTTAATTCACTATAAATCTATGCACGGAACACACTATGAGCTTTTGCTTCTGTCTATAAGTAATTATACTGGACTAATCTAAGTGTTGACTATTAGTGCTGTCATCTCATGGGGAAACCAAATAGGAAACAGCTGCATAAAGTTGGCTCTCTGAAAACTACAAGGTGCAAATACTGAAAATACCTTTTGTATTCATCGTCTTTTCTCACTTCCCCTTTGAGCATATGACATGAACAGCCAGTTATGTGGGCAGTGAGGCAGGTAAATGAAAGAGGAATTGATTTCAAATACAGGGGTTTCAAATGCAAATACTGCAATCTGTGCCTACCCCTACTGATGTGAGCTACGGAACCACTGAAATTTCTTAAATTTTGCTCTAAGCTTTGGCAAAGCTGTTTTTAAAGCTCAAATATTAATCAAAATGAGTCAATTTCTTATGACATTTTTGTCATGACCTGAAATAGATGGGGGGGGGGTAGTAGTAGAATTGCAATGTCCTTTTGTTGGAACCTAATAACAGTAAGTTCAAACAACCAAACAATGATTGCTCTGGGTTCCACCTTTTGCTTGCAATCTGCCTGCTCTGCCCATTGCATTTGAGAGGAAGGTGGCTCAAACAGTTGGCCTAAAAACGAAACACCTGAAAACACTCCCACAAAGCAGGCTGACTTGTCCTTACTGCCTCCAACCCCCTATGCCTCAGATTTCCCCCAAGCAGCAGGCTTTATGACCCTTCTCTTAAAGGTTGCCCCCTGGTACTCTTATTAAATCAGCAAGTACATAAGTCTAGTAACCAAGCAGCACATATTCATGCAACCAAGGATAATGTACCCAGGGAGGCAGAATCATATTGGAATTTTGCTTTGTAGAATTAATGTAACCCTGGGTAATCTTGATATACTGCTGCCTTCTTCAGAATACCATAAAACAATACTCTTAAGGCTTTATCCTAAAAGGACTTGATGTCTCCAAAAAAGTTACTGGGAAATTACTCATGTCACAATAAAATGTTTCAACTTTTTAAATGGCCTTAATAAAATGATTTCTGAATTAGAAGGATCAAGTTAAAATATTTTGGAATACCATTCAAAATACAGTGGTACTCTTTAAAAACAGAAAACAATGAGGATATTTCTTTTTCTTTTTTTGAACACAGGTGTTCATTATGGAGCAAAGAACAATAATTTGTCATTTCCCTTCTAGAATGTTATTGTATTACAGTACACAAACAAAACAATCTTTAAGGTGCTAAGACAACTCAAATAATTCTTAACTAGTCCAGGAAACAATGTAGGGAGATGATTACTAGAACCACAAATAATACAAGTACACTTTGGAATGCTGAACTAGATTCACCTATTTTAATCGCGTATATAACAAAGAAATGCAAAAGATGTGTTAAAAATGAAGAACTTTTAGACATATAAATATGCTTACAAAACATTCAAATATAAGGATAACTAAACACTAGAACAAAAAAAATTTCATGCAAAATGAAGAATGAGCTATCCAAATGAGAATACATCTTATTGCTATTGTCTGGAAGTTAGCACAGTACCTGGCACATAGGAGGCACTTAATAAATGGTTGTTGATTTGTCTTCTGAAGTACAGACACTAGCGAGACATCTGCTTTTGACTCAGGCTTTTGTGGTCTCAGTAGAGACTAACACATAGTGGGGAAAGCCTGTACTCTGAGATGAGGTTTCTAAACCAAGTCAGCAGGATGAGACTATAAAATAACTACTGAACATCACAAAGTCTAACATGATGGACTGAATGCAGGGGGAGTAGTTACCTTTTCAAAATGTAATCGAGACAAGAGCACTGGGCTGTTGGACTGGGGACTTTTGTTGTAGGAGGGGAAGTACTTATCTTCATCCTTCCAATCTGGCAGCTGTTCCTGTCCATAGCTGTCAATGTAACTACATGCTCTCCTGACAGTCTCTACAGGTAAGTGGCAGGATGTTCGACCACACATTCTCTAGCAATGCTTCTCAAGCCCTTTAAAACAAAGATCAGGTGAAATTACATAAAAATCACGGAAGACATTTGTGAAAGCTGCCTCACAGCATACTTCAATGGGTCAATGATCTCCCTGAGGGGGTGATTCCCCCCAAAGGTGCTGATCGCAACCCATCCATACATCTTCCTTAACCAAATCCCACTACAGAACCTGCACAGGTTTTTTAATGATTACACAGGTGCCACTGCAGCACTTAGCCTTTCCATTTGACTGGCCCACCTCTTTTTTGGAGAATGTAATTTCCTGGATGATATATTTTATGCCATTTCTGCACAGATCTTATTCAATGACACGCTACCTATACCCTCTATGTGGCTTTCCATTGCTTCTCTGGGTCATCGGAAATTCTGCTTCTTCAAAAACTGTGACGTTGTAGGATTTGTTGCCAAACAGCATTACTGGAATACTGATCTTAAGAAAGATATTGTCCTTGTTTTGAAGGATCAAGAAACTAGCTGAGAGTCACTCACAGACTTCAAACCCAGATCTCTCCAGACTCCAAGTCTTGCACTCTTTCTAGGTTATATTTCCCAAATAATAGGCCCCATTTCTTTAGCTATATCAAAATTCAATTTCTACCTAACTTGACCTGATTCTCCCAGCTAGACATCTCCCAACGTGTGTAGTGGATACAACACTTAGCTAGTGTATCTACCGGTTCCTTATCCTCTCTGTGCCTCAGGGGCTTCAACTGTAAAATGGGGTGCACGGGCTGTCCCCTCAAAATCTACCATGGTCCTCCCCTCAACTCCTACATACTTGGTATTTTTCCTATTTGAAATTCTACTTTGTGTCTGACGTGCACCCAACTTCCACCTCTGAAAGGTCAGGATTTCCCCGTGCACCCCCACAACATCTCTTGTGGGGTCCTCTACTCCGCTCATGCCATTAATATTTGAGGAATGCATGACGTTTCTGAGGATGCTCTGGACCCAGAGGCTGGGAACGTGGGGCTCCCCTTGGCAAGGTCTTCTCTGCCCCACCCAGGACTTCTCTTTTTATTCCCCACTCCTCTTAACTTCCTTTCCCCTTCTAGGTGAGACGGTGGATGGAGGGCTGAGCCTTAAGTCAGGAAGACCCGAGTTCGAATCCAGCCTCAGACACTTACTAGCTGTGTGACCCAGATCAAATTCCTTAATCTCTGCCTGCCTCAGTTTTCTCCCCTGTAAAATGGGGCTGATCACAGCACCCAACTCCCAGGGAAGTAGCGAGAGTAGGAAGAAAGCTGGCGTACAGCAGGCGTTCAATAAGTGCGCTCGCTCTCCCTCCCCCTCCCTGCGGTGGTTCGGCCCGCCTTTGGCCCCTCCCCCACATGGGGTGTTTCTCCCCACCCCACCCCACACACACGGTGGGGGCCTCGGCTCCCCGCCCGCTCTCCAGGCCCGAGCGCGCCGCCGCCTCGCACAGCCAGGCCCGGGAGCCCCGGCCGAGCCCCTCACCTCGCGCTCCAGCCGCTCCCTGGCTCTCGGCGCACGCCTCGATCCGCTCGCCTTCCCCTCCCGCCTCCCTTCCTTTCCCTCCACTCCCCTCCCACGCACAGCCCCGCCCCTCCCCCTCCCTACCCGCCGTCACGTGCCGCTTCCTCCCCTTCCCTCCCCCCTCTTCCGCTGCTCGCCCCGCGGTCACGTTCCTCTGCGCCTCACTGCGCATGTCACGCTTTGCGGCCTAGCTCTCCGGGGAGGAGGGGGAGAACAGAGGAAGGGGAGGAAGAGCAGACGACGGGAGCGGAAGAGGCGAAGGAGGAGCAGGGGGGAGGGGAAACTGAGGGAGGAGGAGGAAAGAGGGGAGGAGAGGAGGAAGGAGAAAAAGAAGGAAAGGGGAGGGTGGGAGTCTGGGTGTCCTTCCGGGCAGGCTCCCCGCGCTCCCCCAGGCTGCGCCCGCACTTTACCAGCCGCAATCGGCAAAGAGTAAGACAGTCCCCCGGCCTGGGCCGCAGTGCTGCCGCGGAAGCGGGAGCCTGGGCTAATCCCTTCCAGGTTTTGGGACCGGGATTTCCCCGACCACTGAAGGGTTGGACCAAGGTCCCTGATTGCTCCAAGTGGATGATCCTGCTCCCTCGCTCAGAAATGAAAAGGATGCTGGGAAACTCTCGAGCTCAGTAACCATAGTAACACTCGCCCAGGCATTGGCTAGGTTTGTCGTGTTTGTTGCAGCATCAATTCAGCTCACACTTGATTTTTGTTTCACCTTCCAGCAGCACTTCATTTGATCATTTGAGCACCACCAGCTTCCCGAACAATTAGTAAAACGGTAACTAGCTTTGCTGGCCACCAGTGGCTACTTCCTTACTGACCTGCACTTTTGGTAGATATTTCCACCTGAGAACTGGAAAGAGAAGTCTGTTAATCACCAAAGGGCTCAGGTGGTAGGCAGTAAGACCAGACTTACCTAACTTCCTTTTTTATGGTTATGAAACTGTTCAGATAAGGGTAAAGCATACATAGTTTACCCAGATTAAACAAAACCTCTCAAATAGTATTCTTAGAGACATGCACTATACAGTAGTTACATGGATTTGGAGCTAGATGAATTGGTGGACACCAAATAGTTATTAATGATTAGAATTCAAATAGGAAGGTCATTAGTGAAGTGCCCCAGGGACAGGTGTTTGGCTATTCCTGTTTAATATCTTTTTTATTAATTACTTGAATAAAGGCAGAAAAGACATCCTTACCAGATTTTCAGATGACTCAAAGCTTTTTAAAAGGGGGAGCTAACACATGGGATGACCATACAGTACAAATAGATGATGACAGAATAGAAAGTTGGGCCAAATTGAAGATGAAATTTAACATCTTACAAGTAACTAAGCTCACAAGTAGCTAGAAAGCAGCTCCTCTGAAAAATGTCTGGGGGTTTTAATAAGGTTATCTGACAGTCAAATAAGCTGGTGTAAAATAAGGCAACTGCAAGAGAAGGGTGGGTGGATAGAGAACCTGCCTTATACCAGAAAGACCTGAGTTGAAGTCTAGCTTAAACATACCAGTTCTGTACCCCTGGGCAAGTTACTGAACCTCTCAGTAACTATGATGACTTTCTCAGAATGAAAATTGCCCGTCACTAAAACTGAATAGTTGACCATCTGCATTGGAAAAAGGGAATTTCTTCAATGGGGGTACGACACAGCAGTGAAATCTTATTGTGTCCAGGTGTGTCTTATTGTGAAATATTGTGTCCAGGTGTCACATTTCAGGTAGCACACTGACAAACTGAAGAATGTCCCGAGGAAGATGACCACGATGAAAGGCCTCAAGATCATGCCACCAGAGTCAGTTGACAGAGTTAGAAATGTTTGGCCAGGAGAACAGAAGGGACAAATATGATAGCAGTCTTCAGGGGGGGAGAAAGGCTGTCATCAAGAAGAGGGATTAGACAATGCTGCTTGTCCCCAGAAGGAAGAAGTAGGAACAACGAGTGAAAGTTACAGAAAAGTAAATTTAGTTTTGAAATAAGAAAAAACTTCTTAATAACTGGAGCAATCAAAAAAGGAACGAGCTGCCTTGGGAGGGGGCAGAGTCCTGCTCCAGCTGAAGAGCATCAGACAAAAGCTAGATGACCACTGGTCAGGGGTATTGTAAAGGGGATTCTTGTCCAAGGATGGATGGAATTATATGTTACCCGAGGTCCCTTCTAACTCTTGAGATTGCGTGACCTAAGACAAAATTAGGGGTACTTACAGATCATCAGTACCTAAATAATAGCTTGGAATGGGGTTGTATCATGACTGCTACTTGATAAATATTCTCATTATCTAATGAGAATCCTATGAAACCATATCAAGAGCCTAGAGAAGAATTGGTTTTTAGGGTCTCTTTAGGATATTTTTTCTCTAGTGAAAACTTTTAATGTATCAGGATACAGACTGGAAGCTCCCTTCAAGGAAGCACAGTAATATAAGCAGGGTAGATAGTCATTACCTACTGATTTATGTGGTCAGGAAGGACTTCTTCAAAGACAGAATTCAGAGACTGTGTGTGGTAACTTTATTCATCTGAAGGCCAGCCAACAGGTAGAGTAGCAAGCTTCAGCACAAACTGAAACAACTACCATTTAGGCCTTAAAAACAAAATCACCTAATTAAAAAAAGTCAGAAATGTATAATTTTAATAAAGAAATAATTGCCAAGGGGAGGTTTCCACTGTGTCCATGTGAAGAAGTGAATCTCCTGTCAATCTCCCCATTGAAGTAGTAGTATCAGAGGGTGCTGAGCCCAAGAGGGACAATTCCTTAGCCTACAGATGCCAAAATGATGTCCACAGGCAGCTCCTCAGTGCTTCTGGCTGTAACTTGCATTGTCACCGTGTCTGTCAGAACCAGCCTCGAGCGCACAAGGATGTCATGACCACCCCGGAATACTCCTGCAAACAGAAGTGAGAGTGTTTGTTTGTTACCAGGCTAGGCAAAGAGAGGCCCGGGGAAAGGGGCATTTTAGAAAGGCAGCATTGCTTTTCCATGTCATTAGGGCACAAAATATGACAGAACGTATAAAAAACCCTATTGTCATGGTAAATTGGTACTGGTGAGGCTGACAGCAGGGCTATGACTGAGCACAAGAGACTAAGTTATTTGAGTACTGTGCCAAGAATAGCAATCAACAGTGATGTTCAAAATAACAACACAGAGAAGCTTCAGTTAGTGGGGACAGTCCCCAAACCCTAGAGCCACACAGCAGCTGTCTGTGCATCCCCGGGGAGTGGTGTTGACACTGAAAGTGGAGATCAGCTGGTAAGCAGGGCACTGAAGCAGACTCCTGTTTGCAGCTAAATGTGTAAATGCGATACTATGTTCCCAGATGAGGGGTGGGAAGCCTCTATGAAAGACCATAAAGGGGGAGCTCTGTCAACATGTAAACGGTACTGACCAGATTCTTGGCTTAGGCTCCCTCCTGTCCTGGGGACAGACACTCACCAGCGAGAAACAAAGTGTGAGCATTCTTGTTCTCAGGTACTTTGTCTGATCTCTCACAGGGCTGCATCCCCAGGAACTTCACAATGTTACCAACGGCCTCTATAAGAAAAGCCCAGATGTGTGAGCCATAACTGCCAGCTGCAGCCTCTCCGCTCACTCCACCCGACTCCAAAGCTTCTTGCTGAAATCACGAAACAGGAAACATGCAACTGTGTCCAGGACACACTGCAGAAAGCCTTGTTCCCAAACCGGGGAGGGGAAGAACATTTCACATTCCATGCTCCAGCTGTAGTATGGGGTCAACACGAAAATCTAGGTGCTCTGGGTCTGGAACTTACCTTCAAGTGTTTTGATGGTGGACAAAGTGAAGGTTTCTTCTTTCTCAAATTCTTCTCCCACCTCATCCCAGGCTGCCCCAAAGTTTGGCTTCAAAACCCTGAGTATGTGATCTGCCAATGTTACCTCGAGGTCTTCTAGCTATGAGAAGGAGGAATCACAGTCTGAAAGTCTGAAAACCCAAGGCTCCAAAGGAGAGAACCCTGATGTCTCTATATTAAACCAGAAGTGTGTTGGTGAGGATAGTCATTCTTCCAGAACAAATGGTCTGGCAATTCACACAAGCGTAGGATGGGGTGGGGAGCAGAGCCTCAATCCTTAATGTCTTTTTTTTTTTTTTTTTGTGAGGCAACTGGGGTTAAGTGACTTGCCCAGAGTCACACAGTTAGTAAGTGCCAAGTGTCTGAATCCAGATTTGAACTTGGGACTTCCTGACTCCAGGGATGGCTGCTCAATCCACTGCGCTACCTAACTGCCCCATCCTTAGTGTCCTTTTAAACAATTTCTGACTTAGATCCTGGTAGTCATACTTTGAACAAATACTAGTGGTGTAACAAATGCTTCAGGCGAAATCAGAGTTATAGTTTCAGTTATTTATAGTTACATGTTTATATTTTTCCCTTCCACAAACTCATAAGAAGTTTATCTCTCATAAGTGTCATGATTAGCAAAAAGAATTGAGTCACTGAATGATGTGAGAAAGAAATGTCTTCAAAGTAAAAATATTCAGATCTTCATTAACTTACAATACAATAAACTTTCTCAAATCTTAGGATTCTAATCCGAAGACCTACAGCCGAGAACATAGTCTAACCAGGGGTTCTTAGCCTTTTTTAAGTCATGAATCCCTTTGGCAGTCTAGGGTAGCCTACAGACCTCCTAGAATGTTTTTTAAAAATTTCAGATAGGGGTTAGTGAAAACAAAGATGTAATTTTTCCCCCTTAAAGTTCAAGGACACCCCTGAATCCCAGACTAAGAACTGGTCCAGACACTCTCAAGAACGGGGTGCTTGGCCATAGACTGACGTCCCCTGGTACCTGACACTTACCACATACTCATCTTCATAGCCTTCATCATCAGTCTCTCCAGTGGTGGGATCACAGTCCTTGACTGTGAACTTCATCATACAGCTAAAAGTACAGGCAACTATTGGGAGAAGCTGATGGTCAGTATAACTCCAGACATAATGAGAGGCATTACTGCCAAGTGGCTAAGAGGCACACTGATTCTTTAAATTTAGGGCTCTCCAATATTATCCGAAAAGACAACAGGGCCAAAAGCAA